TGCGTTAAAAGTAGTTAAGATAATTTTAAAAACAATGCGATATTTTACATTCAACCAGTGTAATGACTTGAGCAGAGGTGTGATATGACAAAATCTGCTCTCCTAGAATATAAGGCGTGCAGCTGCATTCTGGACTCTCTCTAATTTGTGAAGATGGTACTCAGGAACTCCAAATAGGAGGCTGTTAATATATCCCATTGGGCACTCCACTGGAGTGGTCAAAATATTGGTCAAAACACTGAGATCTTTCATAAAATAAATATACACTCTGAAAATAATTTTTATTATAATCAATGAATATAGGAGGTAAGTTTCTAGAGGAACTGTGGGCTGTGTCAGTATTACAATATAATTTGGTTTTATCCACTGGGTTGATAATGTAAATTGGCCACCATAAAGAGTTTATAAAGCTGGCGTTTCGAGCGTTAGCCCTTCACTTTGACGAAGGGCTAACGCTCGAAACGTCACCTTTAGAAACTCTTTCGTGTAATTATAATCAGGATTATTATGAGTTGTTAAAATGATAACATATACACAAATGTTGTTTAAATCATGCTACTCTTGATCTTCTTAGGAATGTGACAGTAACCACAATGATAGATGGACCAACAACAATAACCTTAAGTGCAACGACACCAATCTTAAGACAAAAGACGACCGCTGTTTAAGTGGCACGTGCGTAGGAACGCCCTACAACTGCCTGTCCTGTGAAACGCATGACGGCAGCGGCTGTCCAATTGAGCCTGGATATTGCATAATACAGCAGGAGGGCCAAAGAAAATGTTACGCAACGAATCACTACAAGCCAGGAAATCCTTGTCAGGTACGCCACCGTTCAGACTTAGACTTTTGTTTGTTTGTTTGTTTGTTTACGATCAATTGAAATAAATAATATTTTGACCAGTGAATATTATTTAAAAAAAGAAATGATCCGCAAAGGTGAGCTGCAATAAGAGAAATTGGAGAGAGAAAATTTGAAAAAAAAAAGGCTTGGAAAGGACTTGAACTTGTCCACAAATATTTTGGATACGATAGACCTTCGCGGGTGTCCTTCGCAAAAAAAAAAAAGGATTAACGCACTATTTGAAGTATGATCCCTAATAAACTATATATCATGGAAATGGAAATTGGAATTGCTAATATTTTCCAATTTGTATCTCAATCTTAATGTGAATCAATCTGAGAAGATAATGGAGAGACCATTTATTCTGCCTGGAATGCTCAATCAAGCTCTTGGATTTAATATTCTGTTTACAGAGATGCGACATAAGTAAAAATGTAAGTACCTGGTCAGACAATGATGGGGTAGCGTGCAACGATGGTGACCGCTGTACTCGAAATGATAATTGCAGTAATGGCCAGTGTAGGGGCACACTTTTCAGCTGTAACTCTATATGTCAGTACTGTAATGGGAACAGTTGTGGCCTCAAGACTGAGTGTGGATTTTCCAGCAGCAAATGCAAATGTAAAAGAATCGGTGAGACCTTTTGTTTAGCAAACGAAAATCATACATGTGAACCGCGGATTAAGAAATGAATATGAAAAGAATCTTTGCAGTAATGAACACCACACAAGCAGCAGTGAAAAATAAGCCAGCTCTCAGGCTAGTTAGCTCGGTTGGTAAAGCACTGCACTATAAGCAGTGTTCATTTCTGCGCAGATAGCTTTCATATTCATTTCTCATTACGTATTTCACATACATGATTTTCATATATCCACTTTCAATTAAACTGAGCTTACCCTTTTTTCCTTTCATTTCAGGTAATTATGTTTCTGTTGTAATGCTAAAAGGGCCCATATATAAATTACAAGACAGCTTTTTAAGGGGAAAAACCGACTTTTAATTTCAGGCCAAGACTACGATTATCACGCCTTATATCCATCAAATCCAAATGTAATGTAAATCCAAATTCTGCAAGGTCTTATAATGGCTTCTGTAATCAATGAGAATGTCACTTATGTAGATAAAAGGTAATCTTTCTGCCTTCTGCGCGTGAATTCGGCCTCATACAACCAATCCTGAACGGTTTAATGGTTCAAGACAAAAGGATTTACCCACTCTATATACGCCATGATATCCCTTTCATTGGTATTACTATTTCATGGACGCAATTTTTTTTTTCGCCTTTAAAGGTAATCTCTCTGCCTTCTGCACACGATTTCGTTTTCATACAAACAATACCGAACGATTAAATGGTTCTTAGCGAACAGACTTATCCACATTATATGCGCCATTAAAATCCCTTTCATTGGTATGACCATTTCATGGACGCGGTATTTTCTTATCTTCACCTTTAGCGATTTTCGAAGTGGCAGACCAATGTTTATTATAAGACTAAACATTGTGGCAGTCTAATTTTATCACAATGTTTGGCTATTCAATTTTTGTCTTTATGGTATTGAAATATATAATGTAATTGTCAAATGTGAATGAATACACCTAATCTTATTTTATTCCGGCATGAATGTTATTAAAACTGGGGAATGAAATCAGTTTGGGAGACGTAAAAGCCAAAATGTTATATAAATCATCTTATAACGTGTTGGAATGTTCATAGTTTGAAACTTTAAGATAAAATTTCAAATTTCATTAATAATTTCTCCACTCTCAGCATCTTATAAAGTTGAATTTGGAAAACATTTATAAGAATCTAGAGAGGGAGACGTAAAAGCCAAAATGTTATATAAACCATCCTATAACGTGTTGGAATGTTCATAGTTTGAAACTTTAAGATAAAATTTCAAATTTTATTAATAATTTCTCTACTCTTGGCATCTTATAAAGTTGAATTTAGAAATCATTTATAAGAATCTAGAGAGGGAGACGTAAAAGCCAAAATGTTATATAAACCATCTTATAACGTGTTGGAATGTTCATAGTTTGAAACTTTAAGATAAAATTTCAAATTTTATTAATAATTTCTCTACTCTTAGCATCTTATAAAGTTGAATTTGGAAAACATTTATAAGAATCTAGAGAAGGACCAGTACTGCTGCACGATAAAGAGAATCTTTTCACTTTCATTTCATCATACCATTCACTTAACCTGCAAAGCTTACTCATGTTAAAAGTTAAAATTATCATGATTTTGATACGATCTATTAATAATGTTTTTCTCTTTTTATAAGGTCTGAATCTACTGCTGTCCAAACTGTTAATAAGTTATAGATGTTAGCTGACTCAGTCGATTCAGTTGCCAAGCCGAACGAGGAAAACAAGTTTAGAAATCTTCATAGCTAGTTTTATTTCTCTTGGGTCAAGATTAGATGCCAGGAAGGAAAGAAAATGGAAAACAAGGGTTTTTGAAAGTTTTTAGATAATTCAATATCAAGTTCAAACTTTTACCAAAATTTGAATTGTCTTATATCAGTTAGGTCTCGGCGAGTCTTTCTAAGGTCGAGTTTATCTTTAAAATTAGTTACTTCACAATGTTTCAAAAGCCAGTGCCTGCCATGCAGTTTTTTTTATTTCAAATCATGCCCTGTGACTGAAAGCAATATATAGATCTATGGCTAACTCGTATTTTAGCGTTCTTTGGGAGTTTTCATCCACAGAACTTTGATGCAATGGTAACGTCTGACTGGCAATATGTACCTAGAACACCAATAACACGTCTTGTAAAGAACGAACAGTACCAAAGCTTCCAACCTATCGTTTGGCCCGAAGAGTCCGTCTCCTATGTAAGTCGCCATATGGAAAATCGCGTTGGAAGAGGAATACTCTCGGATGACAATGATAGTTGCGCACCATAACAGGTGGAGAAAGATACATCGTAGAATTTTAAATTTGTTTGCCAGATCCTTATCTAGTCGAGTGTAAAGCGACTCCCTTGCATGAATATCAATGCTCACTTAGAATTTTGATAAGGTTTAACCCGGCACTTTTAATCCCCACGATATACAACGCTTTTCATTTAACTAATTTATTCGTTTTTTTTCCTCGTAACCGTGTTCCCAACAATAACGTTGCTTCATTTTCATGCAAAGAAAACTGATACAACCCAAAATTCTTACCAATTTATCATTTTACACCCCTCGCCCACGCAGCACCACAGTTTCTTAAGGAACTTACCCCCCTCTATTCCAACAATTCTACGTGTGTGGAAGTGATTATTGGAACAGTATTTAAGTCATGTGACAAACATTCACTTTCAATTTCCGCAAGTCTCTTATCATAGCGGATAAATTTGGTAAAGTGTTTGTAATGGTAAATCTTAGACATAAAATTTTCCATGAACAGCGTCAACATTTTTGTTTCAGAGCAATAATACTCCGCAACATGGCTTAAATGATGTTGTGATCGAGCCTTTAAAGCTATGAATATGGAATAAGCTAATATTTCACATAACATTTACCAAACGTCTCGATGCAATGTTAACAAGAACTTTATGAGGGGATATCGAGAAAGAAATCTGAAAATAATACTATAAAAAAATAGTATAAAATTTCTCTTCCAATTTTATGAATTCACAAAAAAGGTAGTAGGAATCCCCTCACAAGCAGAGAAAAGGACTGAATGGAGTTATCTCGAGTAGTTTTTATTGCAATTTTTTTTTTATATATAACTTTTTTTTACTTAGAAGAAAAGGAAAGAAAAAAATTAAATCCCTCAAGATCACTCAATTTTGGCGGTAATCTGCTCCACTAAACCTTTTCAAAGAGGTATTTATGAATGACAAACAATAAAAATGTTTTGTTTACAACAGGACATGTGAGATGCTTTCTTAGCCATCTGTCTCCTACAAACCTTCCAAGAGGAACTCTACGACTCAAGAGAAATTGCTTCGGTTACTGACTTCCTATCGCTTCCAGGAGAGCTGTGACTTTAAGATTTTCACAAAACAGACAGATAATCTCAACAACGATTTTGAGTGCAAGAATATTGGATTAATGAAAATTCGTTCATGAGCCTCTTTATAACATCTGCTTTACAATCAAGCAGTCAATTTTGCTTAATTAGAAAATTAAAGTGATGGCATGTGTAGAACAGTTTAAAATTTCCTAGCAAAAAGAGCTCGAAACAATTTTTTTAATCACAAGTTATTATCAGAGTAAGAGTATATTTAATACCAACAACTGATTTGATAAGAGACATTTAATAATGAGAAAAAGGCAAACAGGTTACAAAATAGAGAAACTTATCTGTAATGGGCTGGTGACAAACTAATTTTCTTAGCTTCTTATGAATCAGATCTAGTTTGGTTGACTTGTTAAGACAGCTATTCTTTGATTGGTGTATCATTAACTTTAATTCTAGATATATTAAAATAAAGAAATATATTTATTTATTTATTTATTTATTAAAAGGAAGTGATGTATAGAAACTCAGTATCTATACGAATTCATAAAGCCCGTACCTTTACACATGTAAATAAACACACCATAGCTAAACTTTTAGGTGATATGCAATTATGATGAATTAAAATTCTTTGATGGCT